CGATGGGAATATTTGATGTCTTTTTATTCTTAATTCTTATTTCTTTTTTTCTTTTATTCTTCAATGTTGTCATGTGTACAACTCGTCTTGGTTATCATGATTTTCTTTTCTTTAGATTCTTTGTCACTATAGACGGCGGGCTCTGCACTATGGATCTATTGTAATATGTATGTTGTGTATTCATTATTTATGACATATACAGACAATGAATTGGGAATACATCTGTGCTATCTTAGATGGAACGATACTAAATTTGAAAGAAACCTTGAGAATCATGAATTAGGCTGCCTAGGTAAAGCCATTCGTGAGCACGCTCGAAAGTGGACACATTACAAATATTAACCGAAGATATCTATGCTCGGGGAATAATAAGTGACAGAGGAAGTAAGAAAAGTAGCAGAGGCAACCTAAACGCAAGACGTCCATCAAGATAATGTGTACGCTGGACCCCGAAATGAGATGGTACGCTATACATAATGCACCGTGAACGCCATACATGCTCAAGTCATTGGGATGAGAACAGTGGGAAAATAGAGGACAAGCGATGTTGAAAGACTTGAGTCAATAGTGAAGACATGAGGGCGTAGCTAAAGCTGTAGTCGTAGTGGTTGTACATCAGCCGGCGATGGCTACCTCACGGCTTTCCCACATACGACGAATCATCATCTCGGCTTCGCTGGCCATAAATGATGGCTCTTCAGGGTACTCTTCCACGGCGGGAGTCGTATGGGCAGCTTCATCGGATGTAGAGAGAATGCGGTGAGAAGGATGTTGGGATTTGGGCTGTTGTGAGGAATCCGAAGTTTCGTTCGCGAGATCGGCGGGTTCTTGAAGATATGTTTGGGAGGCGGAGGGTTTCAGATCTGAGCGTTTCCGGCTAATTAATTGTTTCGGTTCTGGACTTGCACTGTTCTGACTGGGAGACTGCTGTTTGCCGTTTTGGAGCAATGTCAAGGAGGGCGCTGACTTGATTGGTTTGCCGAGGGACGAATGTCGCTGGTGGCCAGCACCCAACTTCGTATCATTGACAAGGGATGCCAAACGACGGAAACTATCCCCGGTCGGTGACTGGAACCGTCGAACCACTGTAAGCTCCAAAGCGGTTTTCTCATATGCCTTGCGGACATGCTTTGCTTCAGTGTCGTGTGCAGGACTGGCCCGCGATGTCCCATTGACAAGTCCTCTTCCTGCATCAAATCCGGCTCCTGGTCGGGCGTGCGCTGCGGCCATGAAAGCCGGGTCCATTGCTGACGGAGATGCGGTCGCTGCCACGCCATGGCCGTCAGGAGGGGAGGTGTTCAGAGCGGCAGTGCGCTGCAGCCACAGCTTCTGCTGGGTGCGGGAGTGCGGTTCTGCGCCAGGCGGCCGGGTGGGAGGGGATGCTCGTGCTCTCTTCGAACTTGCTCCACGGCCAGGAGAGGGCGGTGTTTGGGGGTGATAATGGGGTAAGAAAGAGGATGGAGTGTTGGGGTCTGAATCTGTACGAGGAGTTGCATGGAAGCCAGTCTTAATGAACCTCGACACGCCTCCCTCGATCGAAGATGATGTTGCTTGTGTCAAATTGCCTGGGGTATTGGCCAGTGCATTTTGAGACGAGGAGAGTGGTGGTCGGCGCAACCCATCGTGACCGGAAGCTAGATTGGTTAGAGAAGCATTGCGTGACAATGAATCGACTGTCGCTGGCTTCGCTGTGGCCGATATGGAGGACATGGCGGGCGGTGCTTTAGCAGAGTGCGCGGGAGTCAGCAGGCGAGATGCAATATCACCGTGGTCAGTAGCGCGACTACTTTCTTCCCGCTCTTCGGTCTTTGGTGGGTGTTGTTGTTGTGTATCACCGTTTTCGCTGGGCTCGTCGTCACTGTCGTCGTCCGGTAAAGGGTTGTTGTGACCAAAATTATTCAGGCTCGACTCGGGAAGGCTGGTCGACCGAGGAAACTGTGGATAAGAACGCTTAACGAATGTCAAGGGATCCACCAATACCGCCGTATTCTCCACACTATCCTTAGATTGAGCGACGGAGCTGCGCCTAGTGCTCTCCGGCGACTGAGTGGTATCCTCCCAGTCCCCGTCGTCGTTGTCGTCGGAATCGGCCAATTCGAAGCCCACCGTTTTCTTCTTGCCTGAGCTGGTCTGTGGGCGATCGGTGACCAGGGCCGTTTTCCCTACCTTGCCTATGACGCTGCTGCTATTTCGGCGAAGCGCAGGGCTTGAGTTGTTTTTTTTCATCGAAGTAGTGGTTTGGTCACTCTCGCCCAAGGCTCCATCCCAACGGACGTGGTGCGTCCCACGCGGGCTTGCGGCGGGTGTGACAGCAGCGGGAGTCGTAGGAGCGGACTTCTTGCGCTGATGATGACGAACGGGTCTTTCCGAGTCAATTTGAGTGTGAGAAAGATGTCTTTGGAGCTGTTTATTCAGGTTTTTGCCAAAAGACGGATTACGATGGTGGTTGCGATGGCCACCGCCGACGATATGGGCACGATGCTGCCGGTGAGAGAGTTTGGAGGATTGTTGGTGGGCGGCGTTGGAGTTGGCCAGTTCGTTTTGGGTGGATGTCGATCGCGTGACGACGGCGTGTGAGGAGACTGCGCGACGACCCAGGCCGGGGCGCTTGACGGGGGACGAGGTGTTAGAGGTCGGCATGGCGGTAAGGGTGTATGTGTGCACACCACAAATGGGGCGACGAGCAGCTGCTGCCGAGGGTAGATCGTTGCAATCACGTTGGCCTTGCGGAGAAACTCGCCGAGTGGACAAGTAAGGAAAAAAGCAATTATAATCAAATTAATCAAAGAGCGCTTGCTTGCGTCGTGAACCTAGGTATCAAGTGCTGTGTATCCCCCGACAGCGCGGGGAGCGCGCCAGGCAATTGGTGGAGGTGAGAAGTTCGTTACACCCGAGGGTTTGGATCAATCTGTGCAGTAGTTAAAAATATCAGGCAAAGGGATGGACGAAATTAAGCTGACGAGAGCAGAGACGCGTGGCGGTGAGGGGTTTAAATTGAAAGTCTCAAATCTCTTTCTCACCCAGAAAAACCTTAGATGACTGATGAGAGGGAAAGAAAGCGAAATCTGGTTCAGAACCAGAAGGAAAAAGAGTCGAGAAAAGGAGAGGTTCTTCATGAAGGGAAAAGAAAGAGAGAAGGAATGAATGAATTTGGGTATTACCATTACGCGTTACGGATCCGGGAGTCTAGACCGCATTGGGGTGGATCGTAGATTTTCCCATTGAATCCAGTCATCACCCTTTCTCCTTCGACCCCCATTGCCTTCATTGGATCTTTTTCTTCCTCAGAATCTCCTCCAACCTCATGGGGGACTGATTGGACCAGTCTGTTGGTATGAAAACAGCACGATATCTTCTGTGCATATTCCAGGAATTTCCCCTCCAGCAGTTGCCGATCCTCATACGTCATCATACAGATCGCTGCAGCACGCAATATCGAATCCCTGAAAAGAACAAGAGAGTGTGAATCCTGGGCAGGTACCTTTGTAGTACATAGTAGTACTACTGTTTACACAATGTAGCAACTGATAGATACTCTCCAGTGACCAGTCATTACGGTGTTCTTCTGGCGAAGAGCCGGTACCAGCCCCGTACCCCATGATTCATTGACTAAAGTTCGGCCTGCGAAGTATACCGGTCTAATCAGCACTAAGAGACGGCATTACCACGGTACGGACGACCTATATAGATGACAATTATACAATGGTCGGTTTAGCTCGAGCGAAACACCTCCGATCAACCAATAACTCTACCAAGTTGAGCCATTAGATTTTAATCTGGAATTGCTCCCCGATTAAAATTCCACTATGTATTTATTGTCACCCCAAGTGTACAAAACACACCCTGATCACCTCCCCATCCACCCACCATCGACCGTCAAAATCTCACCAGAGACATATCCACTCGCTCGACTCGCCAAGAATATCGTCACTCCCTTGAAATCCTCCGGGGTTGCCCATCGTCCCGCGGGGATTCTCGCCAGGATACTGGCCGACCGCTCAGGGTCTTGCAACAATGCCGTGTTCATGTCCGTAGCTACATAACCGGGGGCGATCGCGTTAACGTTGATTCCTTTGGCGGCCCATTCATTGGATAGAGCCTTTGTCAATTGCGCCACGCCACCTTTTGCGGCTGCGTAAGCCGGCACGGTCAATCCACCTTGGAATGAAACAAGAGAGGCGATGTTGATGATATTTCCGCGGTGACCGGAGGAATCCGGGGTCCGGGTGAGCATATAGGCGCCGATATCCCGGCAGAGGGTGAAGATGGTGGAAAGATTGACTTGGAGGACCTGCCACCGTTAGAGTTGAATATGCATATCACTCTTCAGCTACGGGAAAGCAACATACCTCGTCCCAGTCACCATCCGGAAAAACATGACTCGGGTGTCGCCGTTGAATCCCCGCGCAGTTGAGAAGGATGTCGATATCATGCCCATTCTTCAAGACGGTCGATACTAATGAAGAGACAGACTCCCGAGAAGATAGATCGGCTGTGTAAATCGTTGCATTGCGCCCTAAACCTTCGATCCTTTGCCTCGTGTCTTGATTGCTAATGTCTCTCTACATACCGGAAGAGTCAGATCTCTGGAGTTGTTGTTGCTTGACTGATAGGAGATATCAATTTACCTGAACCAGAATGATATCCGCACCAGCTTCAGCCATAGCAATAGCCATCTGCTGTCCAATGCCTCGAGTTCCACCCGTAACAAGGGCGGTTCTACCCGTGAGCGAGAAGAGATCCATTATGGTGAATGATGCAGCACACTAATGGCTGACTATTACCATCCCAGCAAAGTTGCGCGTAGCAAGCCGACTATTTATAACTGCTTATTTCTCATGCCAGATTTCCCCTCGAATATTTGTTATGTGAACCCCCACGCCCCCGCATCGTGCGCGTGGAGCTTGTCTAGTATGGTGGTGAACAGTCAGCCCTATAGACATTCCGCGTACAAGACATTAGGTTATCAGCTCTACCCTACCAAGCTACATACAACCAGATCACCACTCTCGAATGCCACCATCCGGACCGTAAAACTCCTTTGGAAGCCATGGTTCCGTCTCAGCACTGATTCTCCTGACCATGGCCTCATCGATCTCAATCCCTAACCCAACACCGGACGGTGCTTTCACATATCCCTCATTAATATCAAAGACCGACTTATCCACTAGATAGCTATTCAAGTCAATATCCCCCGCTTCCACGTTATAATGCATCCCTAACGACATCTCCTGGATAACGAAATTGGGCGTAGACAAAGCAACCTGAATAGACGCCGCCAGCGCGATGGGCCCCAACGGACAATGTGGTGCGATCGCCACATCGTACGTCTCGGCCATGGTAGCGATCCGCTTCGTCTCTGAAATACCGCCGGCATGCGCAATATCCGGCTGCAAGACATCTACAGACGCGTCTTCCAGAAACCTCTTCGCATCCCACCGCGTATACAATCGTTCTCCGAACGCAATAGGGATCGTTGTCAGATCGGAGAGTTGCTTGAGCGCTTCGGGATGCTCGCAAAGTAGTGGTTCCTCAATGAACAACGGACGATATGGCTCCAATGCTTTCGCTAGTTGCTTAGCCATAGGCTTGTGTAGTCGGCCGTGGAAATCTAATCCTGCGTCGAGGCCCAATGCCTTGACCTGCTTCAATCGCTCAACACAAGAGTCCACAGCTGAGGGTGAATCTAGCCAGTTGACATCTTCCGTTGCGTTCATCTTGACGCACTTGAGTCCTTGGGCGATGCGCGCTTTCCTATCCGAAGCTTAGTATATACCGGTATCTGCACAGCGAGGAACATAATCCATACGCTGCGGCTTCCACATCACTGGGCCGGTCACCTCCGATCCACGCATAGACCTGAATCTTCTGCCTCACTTTTCCGCCCAGCAGTTGGTAAACTGGTACACCAAGCACACGGCCCTTCAAATCCCAAAGCGCAATATCTATTCCGGAAAGTGCCGACATAAACACAGGCCCACCGCGGTAGAAACCCAGTCGCCAAGCCGTCTGCCAGATATGCTCAATATCACTACCATTGATTAGTACTGTCTACGGAGGATGGACCCAAAATATCGACGGTAGAATGGGACATACTCAGCTTCATAGCCCACTAGCCTTGCAATGAGCTCATCCAAAGCTCCCTCCACAGCCTGTGTATGGCCTTCTAAAGTGCCCTCACCCCAGCCGACCCGGCCCTGTTCATCGGTGACCTTGACGAAGAGCCATCGAGGCTTAACGCGGAAGTACTCAATTGACTTGATTCTGGCCATTGCTGGTTTCCTAGCGAGACAGATGGATGATTATGACTTCTGTGTCGTCATTTCCGTAGAGCTATATATACAATCGAGTACACATTACACATACTGCATACTTCCCCGCGTGGGGGTCGTTACAAGGTACTCTGAAGCCCTGCCATCCCACGTTCTAGATATGGAGCTCTATTCGTGGAGAAATACGGGGAAAGCGCAGTGTCTCCCCTCAATACACCATTGCCAAAATCGAGCCCAGATTAGCCGATTCAATAACAGCCTTGTTACAAGGCTACTCGGAAAACCACCCCCCGCCAAAGCCCATCGGAAACAAGTCCGAACCCCAATTCTCACCCAGCCCTAATGAGAACCAGAACATCCCGAAGAGCCACACCAAACAAGGGGAAAGGCCCCGTATCTAGTAAACATATCTAAAGTTCAAGTTCTCCTTATCCGTCAGATCACTAAACGCCGTCCGATCCATCTCCCATTGCCTCGCCTCCTCACCCTCCCCACCGGGCCCAACTACCTGCAACCGATCCCGTCTCCGATTCTCCCAGGCCAGCGCCGTCCGCAATACAGCCACCAGCACGATCTCCACGAAATGAGACACAATCATCGACCAAATTCCCAGCGGATACCGCGGCGCCTGCGCCTCTTTATAGAAGAACGGGCCGGCGATATTGCCGGCGCAAACACCGATGAAGATCATCGCGCTCGTGACGACTTTCTTGGTGTGGCCGGCGATATTGGCCGTGAGGATGGAGAGAATGAGCACGAAAGAGGCGTTGTAGGACCCGGTTAGATAGTAGCAGATGAGACGGCCGACCTTGTTTGATTCGGGCAGGTAGCAGAGCCCAAAGGAGCCGGCGAGGTTGGGGAGGAGGAATAGTATGGTCACGTAGCAGCGGTTGTTCTGCGGGAGGCGGTCGTTCAGCCAGATGCTGAAGAGGATCATGAGGGCTATGAAGGCTCCGTAGGGTATTTGCATAAGGGTTGTTACCACTGCATTATTTCCCCAAATCATCAGCAAGAGAATCAGCATCAGTATCAGTGTCTAACCAATTGAAAGGTGTTGTCGAAGGAATTGTCTAACGCATACAAGTAGAAAACCCGAATCCCTTTAGAATCAACGTCCCGAAATTCGAAATCCCCCCGTTGGGGATATTCCCTGATAATCCCAGGAGGAGAAACACCCAGACCTTCCAGTCCAGGAAAGCCTCATATATCTGCGCAGGCTTAAGAGTCTTATTCTCGACGCCGGTCTGGTTCTCTCGCAGCCGTTCTACAGCGAGGCGTTTCTCTCGGGGCGATAGGTACCGCGTTGTCACCGGGGAGTCGGGCAGGAAGATGACTATTACTATGCCCCAGATAGAGCATAGGGCCCCGATGATCAGGAACTCGTATTTCCAGGAGGAGAGGGCGCCTTTGATGTGTCCGATGCCGTAGCCGAGGAGACCGCCGAGGGCGATGCCGAAGCCATTGGCGGTATACCAGAGTCCGATCCGGATGGGTTGTTGGCGGCGCGTGTACCACATGCTTGTGATGAGCATGAAGGCAGGGTCGCTGGGATATTAGACTTCTGTTTCTGGGTAAACCTGGTGGGAAGGATATGTACCTGCATGCTTCTGCTGCGCCGGAGATTACGCGGAGCACGGCGAGTTGCACGAAGTTCTTTGCGGCCACTGTGGATATTAGTAGAAAATTTTGCAACTGTCGTGCGAGAGGACAAAAGTACCTTGGAGCATGAGGAAGAGTCCCCAGAGGAAGATGTTGGCACCTAAATACTTGCCCACAGGGAACTTTTGCATCAAAAAGTTGGTAGGAAGGGCCCAGACCTAGGGTAGTATGGGGTCAGCCTGGGTATTTTGGAGACAGTCAGGATGTGCCGGTAGGAAGGGGTGTCTCGCAGCTAAGCTCTTCATGGGCATCTAACACTGGATAGTTAGGATAATAGTGTATCTTACCAGGAACCCGAAATAGAATACACTGGATAACCACGAATACTTCTCTCCCGATAGACCCAGATCTTCATTAATGCCAAAAATGGCCGCATATGAAAGAGTAGTTTTGTCAATCTAACACCATTAGAAACTTACCCAACCGGATGAAAGAAAAACTCACATAGTAAAACGCATAGCAAACAGCCAGAAAGGGAAGAATCATAAAATCAATCTTGCGAACAAGCCGTTTTAGCTCCCCTGGGTCGACATCTTCGTGCAGCTCATCGAAATTCTCGAAGAGCGCCAAGGCAGTGTCACCATTCTGGATCTTACCAGGCTGCCCAGTGATTGCCTCGACGTGCATCATTGAGGGTTTGTTCCCTTGGTTACCTGGTTGAGTAGGAGCTGGGGTTGGCTGTTCTGCAAGCATTGCGATGCTCTATGGTGTCCAGTTCTGTTTCCTCTACGGAGATCAAGTCTGTCTAAGGGATATTGGACTTTAATCTTCCCCACCTGCTGCCAACAAGCTCTATAGTGCTAGTAGACGCTGATCTGCCGGCAGTGACGTTTAGTCCCCATCCTTAAGCCAAGTACGTGGGGGTGTCTTAGGCGCTGGAATCTGGGGAAGTGGGTTGTTCTCCGCATTATGACCGTGGGTAGGAAGCCTTGAGCTAACATGCTGGGTTGTCTTTTCCTAGATCCTGGTCTGGTATATTCCGTGGGGAGTGCGTGGGGGTCTGGGTTGGCAAGCTGGCAGCGTATGCTTTATCATGCTTCTCTGATGGGTCGGGCTGCAACGTAGCCAAGCTGACTCGTTGTGAGCTGATATCCAAGTTCTACCTTGGAAGTCTTGCTCCGAATTAGTAGTCGTATCAAGCTTGTCTAAGTGTAGTCATATGAGTCGATTGTGGTACCTATGATCTCCCAGAAAATGATCAAGTGCCGAACTGTACATTGCTTGGTACGTTCTGGCAGATACTGCTATACGTAAAAGTTCCAAAGCCTCTCAATCAAACGATCATAGAGAAACCCATATGTAATATAACCATCTATAAAGCAGCCCTCACACGACCATCCACAGCTCGCACCAGCGCATGAATCGTATCCAAAACCGGTGTCTCCATACCAAACTCCTTCGCCTTCCTAGCCGGAAATCCCAAGATAACATCCACCTCCATGGGCCTACCATTCTTATAATCTGTCTGCATGCTACTCCCGACTCCAGGCAAAGAGTTGATCCTGTCCATCAGCTCATCAACAAGCCCATACTCCAGCGGCACACCACACCTGCGACCAACATCGATAACCTCCCGCATCAAACGACGTGTTAAGGGCGTCGCATCCTTACTGGAATGGAGCCAAGATTGCGTATCGAGCAAGGTTAAAGTAGTGATAGGATTCCAAGCCGCATTCCAGACGACCTTCTCCCAGCGCTGGCGTTGCATATCCTCCAGAACCTGGAACTTAGTTCCACCTCCCTCTAACAACGAAGCGAAAGTATTCAACCGAGCCCGCTCAAGTGTTTCATCTACCGATACATTGGGGAATAGACCGATCTGCATATCTTCTGACTTGGTATGTTTAACCGTCCCCGGTGATGTTTGCGTCGCTCCTACCCATGTCTTTGATTCGTAAGTACCAGATACAGAGCATATCTCTGAAGAGGATCATACCACACATGTGATGATAGAGGACTTGGGAAATGTGTTCCGAAATGGCTCCTCATTGCCGACGCCGTTCTGGATGATCACAATGGTTGTCTTTTCGTTCACGGCTGGCTGCAGTCGGGCTACCACTGCCTCTTGGTCGATGGCCTTATGCGCGCAGACGACGTAGTCAAATGGACCGGATACTTCGTCGAGGGATTTCATGACTAGAGCTGTTAGACTTTTTTTGCGTATGTATGTAGGCAAGGGCTATATTACCTTGGTGAGGGCGGAATCTGTGCTGTCCATGGTTTCCGCTGTCGAGGAAGATACCCTACGGACAGGAGATTGTCAGTAACGGTTTGCGCCCGATTAGTCTGGCATCCGACAGATCGATATACATACGTCTTTCTTAACCGTGTCGTAGTTTGACCGCGCTACTACAGTTAGACGGACTCGGTCATTGCGGGTTAAGATGAAGGCGTAGAAGGAGCCAATGCTGTCATGGACTGTCAGTGAAGCAGTATTAAGTAGAAGGAATCGAGGACTTACGCTCCTAGGCCATAGAGAAGAATATCAACTTGGTTGCTCATCCTCAAGGTAGTTCAGCTAAAACGTTTCAGGAGATGGTACGCAGCAAGAAAATGTTGAGACGGTGATAGACATACACATACACTAAAGAAGCCCCATGCGGGGTTCGGGGGAAAGACCGATAACGGGCGTGGGGTGGATTTACCAAAGTTAAGGATTTGGATTACTAGTGTTGTCATGAACATAAAGAATCCTTCAAACAGAACTAACAGTGTTAGTTGATTGTATTGTACGAGCCCTTAAAAACTGGGGTAGTATGTTGCTATAGTCCGGTATATTACAACTTCACTGACCCAACCACGTCTCTCTCCAATCTAGCAGTATTCAAAAGATGCGGTCCTAGCTCCTTTAGATTCCTGACTCCCAAAAATATCATATTGGACTCTATCTCCTGTCGTAGAATCTCAATGGCTCGTCGAGCCCCCTGCTCACCATATCCTGCCGCCAGGCTATACAACGTAGGCCGACCTAAACCTACGGCGGTCGCCCCCAAAGCCACTGCTTTCAACACATCGGTGCCTCGTCGAATACCGCCGTCAATGAAGATTTGCATTTTGCTGTCAATGAGAAACGGAGCATATCGTCGAATCTCAAGAAGTGTGAGGAGGGGCGCCTGGGCGCTGTTATCGTTAGCAGTTGTCTTCATCAATGTATGTTCATTGTTGAATTTCGACATACGTATCTTGCGATCGTCCTCCATGGTTAGATAGAACAATCCCCTGCACTCCACTGTGATATGCCCGTACCGCATCCTCAACGCATTGAATCCCCTTGATAACTATAGGTAGTTTGGTGAGGCCCCGCAGCCACGAAAGAATATCCCAGTCGATAAATGGGGAGATGAAGCTGGCCATTGTTTTGGCAACGCCTTGCCCTTTTCTGGACGGGTCGTCTCTCGCCTGGTAGAATCATTATTAGTCGAATACGGCCATCTTGGATGATACTATTCGTACCTCAACCTGAAGATTGAATCGTTCATCCATCTCCCTCTTCCCTACAACTGGAGAGTCGACTGTGATCCAGATGGCACTGACACCAGCGCGTTCCGCACGCCGAACCACATCTTCAGACTTTGTAATGTCACGATTAACATACAGCTGCTGGAAGATAGGCTGCTCCGGACTTGTTTTTGCATCCATGACACTCTCAATAACATTGTTGGCCCCATTGGCAAGCACTTGTGCTAATCCTTCTTTCCCAGCTGCGGCTGCTAGAGCGCGCTCTCCATCGGAGTGGGCGAGTTTTGCGATGCCAACAGCGCTCATGTAAACTGGCAATGAAACTTGCTTGCCCAGGATATTAGTCGTTGTATCTACAGTCGGAATGCTGCGAAGGATGCGCGGTCGAAGAGAGACTTTCTGGAATGCCTTGGAATTTTGTCGCTTGCTGATCTCGTCCTCGGCTCCGGAGGCGTAATAAGCCCAAGCATTAGGGGGGAGGTACTTCTGGGCGACGATTTCGAAATCATGAAGATTAAGAAAGCTGCTCAGCGGAGGAGGCAGACTTGCATCCTTGTTTGGTGAATTCATCTCATGGATGTCATTCGATTTCTCCAGCGTACCTGGCTCAATGTGTCCGCGAAGCGCCGAAGGAGCCAAAGACTGTGTTAGGATCTCTAACTCATGCACTGAGTCGAATTCCTTTGTTGCATCCTTCCCAGCACAGCGGAGAATGACATTGGGCCCTCCGGGGTGAGCGTTCACAAAATCTACAGAGTATTAGAACCAGAGATAGTCTATATTGAAATCAAATTTGGAGGCCTACCAGTCACATCGTAAACGGAGCCATGGATTGTAACCCAGCAGGATTCTTTGTTATTGTGTTTCTCTACTTCAGCGCGAGTCAACCGCATCTTGCACTCCTGTTCTCGAAGGCATGGAATATCGGACCAACAACCAAGTCATCTCCGTTGGAGACCTGGAAGGCTACTTGAATATCCGATTACCATCCCGGAAAAAGCGACGTGGGGTGCGACGTGGGGGTTGTCTTGCCAGAAGTAAGAATGAAAATGGTGTATGTACCTTCAAATATAGGGATTTTCCATAAATCAGGTTAGAGAACCAAGCTTTCCCCGCATTCTCATCGACTAATGCTCTTTTCGACTAGTGTACATGCAGACCATTGATCTGCGTGCTATTGCCTGTCTTGAATGACCTACACAAATGCATGATCAAGTGGAAGTCGGAAGAATTCATCAAGGGGCTGAGATACAATTTTGCGTTCTGCTAACAACCAAAACAACTGGTATCATGATGATCAACAACAGGGAAGTTCATTTATAGCAAATTAAATATAAAAGTCCATTTCTCGTCACACAAAAGCCAAAAACTCGCCATGTCTTACAGCTCAATCAAGCTCTCTTCAACTGCGGGTCGGGATGGCGGTGGTTGTTGATATTGTGTAGGAGGGGCAGTTCCGCCTACCGGGGAGGCATCATTAACAGGATACGCCCCATGATACGTCGGTTGCCCCTGGGAGTACGCAGTGGCTGGGTGCGCTGGGGGAGGTTGTTGTTGGTAGTAATAAGACTGGGCTGCAGGGTCGGTGGGCTGGCGGTGGAGTGTAGGCTGGCTTCCGGGTTGCATAGGGTGGGACTCTGACAGCTGTAAGTACGCCATTTGCTCGGCTGATGGTGACTGCTCCGGTACGCTCGGTGCTGGAACATTGGAATGTGCAGCTGGTTGATACAAGGAATCGCGCCGTGTCACAGGCGACGGCATATAAGAGGTGTCCACCTCGCTCTGTCGAGGAGGTTGATAAGGATTCACATCTTGTTCTGGCTGGTTGGAGGTCGTATAGAAATGTGTCGGTGCGCCTGGGGCAGGATACGCAGAGGGGCTTTGAGGGTAAGGTGTATTGGCAGCTGAGATCTGGGGAGACGCAGCCTGTGCCTTTCCATGCCAGGGTAGATTTTGTGGCATGGCCGGAGGGGGCTGTGAGTACATGCCGGGACTCATGGCACCGCTGCGCATTCCAGCCCTCTCAAGCCCTTCCCCCTCTGGTTGCTGCTGGGTATATGGGGTCCCAGAAACTGGTGGCTTCTCCGCGCCCGTATTCCCATAATAGAAGTTCTCAACCCCACTCTTCCCTTCGGGAGCATGTTGCGGCATCGGGGGGTACACATTAGGATACCGCGGGCCGCTGGGAACGGTCCCATATCCTAGTGAGTGCTGCGAATATGCACTTGAGAGACGCTCCTCCAGCATGCGATCGTAATACCGGACAACCGTCGATAGTTTAGCGTGTAGATCAAGAAGAGTATCTATACGTCCATGGTCAATACCACTATTCTCAAAATCTGAAGAAGAACATACCATGTTTGCTCATAGTCTCACCATAGCTTCGGGCCAATTTGGGTCGAAGGGTGCCGATGCTCTCGTACAACTCCTGAATCTGCGGCTCGCGCAGAATTGTACCCGGTGGCTGGTGTTGTAATCGGTCAACAAGAGTGGAAAAGAGGTGAATATTCTCCACCTCCACAGGGCTCAGCTCATAAGGATTCTTGGGTAACGATGTCGCGCCAGGTGCGTCTCGAGATGTGGAAGGTTCGGTAGTAGGGGTGTTTTTCAGAGCGGCAGCGTGTTTTTGCTTGTGTTGTTCCATGTCGCGCAGCGAAGCCTCAATAGCGGCCTTTAGATCTGCATCCTCCTCCTCCTCGATCCTGGATTGACTAGATGCCTGAGGCGGCTCTTGGGTAACCTTCGGCTGTGGGACGTAGCCAGTAGATCCTCTGCCCTGCGCCTCCTCTAAACTCATCTGCAACGCCCGACGTAGGTCATCATCAAAACCACCCTCCGCCCGCGCCGTACGCGGTTCCATAACGGTAGACTTTGTGATAGAGTTATTCTTAAAAGCGGATCGGTCCGACAATCCAGAGGGTGTGAATGGTTTCGAGGTTAATTTTGCGTAACACCCATCATCAACTCGTACAGGCTGTAATATTCCCAGGTGAGGTAGAGGAAGGCTTTTGCTAGAACATTGAGCGTCGAAGACGTTTCCGCAATTCCGGCAGTGGTGTTTGCGATTCATAAAACTGAACGGCGTACGGCAGCGCATACAGACGTCTGAGTCGATCCATTCCGGGGGCTTCATGAAGCATCTAATGTTAGTAAATTCAAGGCCGGTGTAGCTGAAGATCAGGTCACACTTACCGCGCTACTCTCAAGCATACTCCCGCTGATTTGAGTCTTTGGCGGAAATCGGAAACCCTCGTCTTGTAACTTGCGATATGTTTCCCCAACATAACTCAGGTCCATACGGCCCTGGGCTGCCATCGCCCAGTCTTGGATCAGTTCCAACATTTTCTCTTTCACCTCTGTGTTAAGCGGAGAACCATCCGCTTTCAGAAGGGAGACGAGGTTGTCCATGAACTCGCGAGAAGCGATTTCGGCGAGGAAATGTGTTCCACCATTCTTGACGCATGTATCTGTTAACTAATAAGACACGTCAGTACACAGGGAAAGCGAATGGGCGCCTCCGAGGTAGTGGCGGGCAACTAACCTTCAGTGTCGCTAACTGCACATTGGGGTTTTTATTTTCCAGTCGTCGTTTCAAAGACCTCATCGCATCTTTAGGTTGAACACTCTTTGATCGAATGAGGTCTGAAACTTCTAAGTTGAGGGCAATATCCTCCCTAGTGTAGTGGTTAGAATCGGGATTCGGTCGGCTTTGCCATCTGACAATGAATCCTAGGAATGATGGAAACAGCGCTATTAAACATACAAAGAAGATGAGGTGGCCTTCTCCACCTGATCATCAATGGGAGAGGATGAAGAGAACCAGCCCGCCATGGCGACGGTAGTAATATCAGAGGGGCGCGATTGGTGTCGAAGGATAGTCAAGCGACGAGCAGCTATGACGTTGGGTAGCGGCGTTGAATGACGGGAAGGAGGAAATCGTGATCGTAAGCGTTGTTTTGCGAAGGCGACAGGATAAATCTGGGTTATCTCGGCCTTCCAGTTGCTGTTATGAAGAAATACCAGGTCTGGGAGGGGGAAAGAGGGAGGAGTTGATACAAGCTCCAGGCAGATCGATCGATACCTATTGACTGAGGTACCAACTTGCCTAACGGAGTAAGTGACGGCTAAGCTTCGTTAGGTAAGGCCTGCGCTGACTCAACTCTTAAGCATACGCATGTGGCGTCATAGACGCGGGCGGTGAGTATCGATACCGTTATTGTGCCGCCTTATCCTTCTTATCCTTCTGATGTTGTCAGGTGTAACTTACAGTTTTTACCCCAGAAACATCCCGCAATCTGCCTGCCTTCTGAGGATCTCCCTCTTTCCTTTATCCCTAATCCTCAGCTGTACAATTTTTCTTTGATATCTCATCCGCTCTTTAACGTATCCTTTCCCTCGTTTTGTGCCTGACGTCCGTTGCTGTTCCCGATAATTGCCCAAACGTGTCTCAGGGCTAGTTACCGCCTTCGAAGACCGACCGATTTCCTCGACGCTTCCCCGCCGAGCTTTTGGAAGCGCTCTTGGTTATGTACAATATTGATTGAAATGCTTTTACCAACCGTTGTATAATGTCCTCAGATGCAGCCGCTTTGCCCTCTCCACCGGGCTTTGCGCCGTGGGAAAATATCAGTCACCCAGGGGGGCAAATTAGGAGACCAGAGTCACTTTCGAGCAGCAACCATGCCACTCCAGCCGGTTATCAATCTCCGCGATTTCCTAATATCAAGGATCTTCAAGACCAGGCAGCGGCCCTGGATGTAAATGAGAATTCATCAGTATGTCCCCCCAAGGTCCTTTGAAATACCCGAGTAAGATCGCTAACTCTCTACAGCTCAACGTCCTTCTCAGCAGAGCCCAAGACGCAATAGAAAATGCCAGGAGATTTGCTGATAGTGACCAACCGGACAAAGCTTACGTGCAGTACCTTCGTGCTTCCGAGATTACTATCAACATCATACCTCACCACCCAGATTATCGAATCACTGCTAGCCAGCGCTCGGACTGGTACAAGCAGTTCGCAAATTTGATGATGGTATGGTTTCCAGTCGTGTTTATTCAATCGGTTACAACAACCTTTGATTCACATTGTTTTATGCAATTTTGATTGACCGCAAGACCATAGGCTGTGCGGACAAAGCAAGGGACTATGGACGATATCAAGCACCAAATCGTGGAAGACAACCTTAGAAGCAATGTACAGCCTACGACTGGAACCGAGCACAATTACTACAGACCTACTTCAGAGCTATTGCCTGCTGGTACGCTTCGAAGCCCGAGCCCGAGAGGTCGTCAAACCGAACAAGGTGATAAGTCAGCACGGATGCCTAGTCCGTCAGAATTTCAACGGTCGTTGGGTCTACAGGAGAGACCGAATAGATACTTGGCACCTGCAGAAGATATGCTGGCCCAGCGTTTCGCCAAACTACGAGCATCACCGCCCGCTACGAATGATTCATTCTCGACGATGAATGGTCAAAGTACTCCTATCCCTGCGCAAGGTTATAATGGCGATATTCCTAGACGGCCGTTGTCTTACATGCCTCAAGGGTCGCCGTCTAATCCAAACCTTGCTTCACCCTCACGGCGACCTCTAGGACCCCGTAGTATGGGGTCATCACAAGATGGCCCCGTCCTACCTCCTAAAGTCCCCCTCAATACGTCGCTTCCTCGTGCACCAGATCCGGCTTATAGTCCAATCTGGACAGTCCCATCTCAACCGCCTTCAAACCCGCCTAGGACCTCAACCGAGAGCTCCCGCCCAGTCAACCCGCGATACTCCCATCTCGCTAATTCATCCCGGAGCAGCCCAAGCCGTAACGGCTTCGACGACAATCCTTACAGATCGCGGACCCCGAATGGAATCCACCAGGTGAAGGAAGATAGAAGTAACACTGCCGATTTGCCACACAGCACTGCAATCAGCGCCCAGGACCTACTCGACTTTCTCCGAAGATATAACGTGTTATTGATCGACGTGCGTCCGCGGGATCAATATGATAGTGGACATGTATACGCGAAATCAATCATCTGCATTGAACCAGTGGCACTGAAAGAAAACGTGTCGGCGGAGGAGCTTGAGGAGCGTTTGGTGGTGTCCCCTGAGCACGAACAGTCCCTGTTCGAGAAAAGAAACGAGTTTGACATGATAGTCTACTATGACCAATCCACCGATTCGGTCAGCTACCTCGCCGGATCCCCTGTTGGAACAACAGCGCCACATCTTAGGGCTCTCTATGATACTCTATACGAGTTCAATGCCTATAAACCTTTGAAGGATGGTCGTCCTCCCGCTCTTTTGCTAGGTGGTCTCGACGCCTGGATCGATCTCCTTGGGCAACAATCCCTTGCCACATCCTCCACAGCTACTGTCCTGGGTTCTCTCCAAACAAAGCGTCCGGTCATGAGACCCGGGCGGCCTCTTGGAAGAGTTCCTACAATGGCGAGCGCTAACTCTAGCTTGGAAGTGAGGAAGAGACGGTTACGCGAATATAAGCCCTTGAATCCAGATGAGCTCACCGCATGGATGGAAAAGTCAAAGAATGAAGAAATTGACACTACGACATATATCGAAGAGGAGCCAATGACGGAGGGACCCGAGGGACAAGAAATAGATGAGCCTCCTACGCCATTCGTGCATACCTATGAAGACTTCCTACGGCGCTTCCCGGAGCCCCATGCTATCCAGGAGTCAATGGTGACACCACATGCCCGACCACCAGTACCACCTACGCCTAACTATGCTGCTCCCGTCCCGGTCGCTCCCTCGCGACCTCCACCTGCAGTTCCACGCCCAAGTTATAGCGGTGTTACCGATGGCCGGCAAATTCAACCTACATTGGCGCGGCAGAATTCTGCTACCAAGACTGCTCTTTACACTCCAAGTTCAATATATCGCGCCAAGTTGCCGAGGACCGGTCTTGCCAATTTTGGTGTAACCTGCTATATGAACTCGACGATACAATGCTTGAACGCGACGATGATGTTGAGTAGATTTTTTGTTGATAACCGATTCCGTTACTATGTGCAGAAGAATTGGAAAGGCTCGCAGGGAGTCATGCCGGGACTTTTTGCCAATCTCATAAGGTCATTGTGGAAGGGTGACGTGGAAGTGATTGTTCCTACTTCGTTCCGTAACTTCTGTGGAAGGCTAAACCAGGAATGGGCCATCGATCGACAGCAGGATGCCAAAGAGTTCTTTGACTTTGCGGTTGATTGTCTACACGAGGATTTAAACATCAATTGGCAAAGAAGCCCTTTAAGGCCGCTGACATTTGAAGAGGAGATGCAGCGGGAGAGGATGCCTGTTGCCAAAGTCTCAAAGATTGAATGGGATCGGTATTGTCATCGGGAAGAGTCCTTCATTTCTTCGCTTTTTGCTGGTCAACATGCTAGCCGGCTGCGTTGTACAACCTGCAAGCGGACATCCACCACATATGAGGCTTTCTACAGCATTAGCGTTGAAATTCCGCCATCCGGTACTGGTGATATCTATCAATGTTTGCGCAGTTATTGTAAAGAAGAGATGTTGAGTGGCGACGAGGTGTGGAAGTGTCCTTACTGCAAATGCGAAAGGGTTGCAACGAAGCAGATCATCATCACACGGGCTCCGCAAATTTTAGTGATTCATTTCAAGAGATTCTCGGCGTCGAAAACCCAAAGCGCCCGAAAGATTCACACTCCGATTGAATTTCCTTTACATGGTCTGCGGATGGATGACTTTGTTTATTCACCGCCAATCCCGGATTCGAATGGTGATTCGAAGGCTACTATGCCACACGATACTACCCTAGCGACTGTACCCCCGTTTACATATGATGCCTATGGTGTGCTACGCCATATTGGATCATCTATGAGCAGCGGGCATTACATCTCTTTGGTGCGAGACGGAGCGCGCCAATGTTGGCGGAGATTCGATGATGAGCGAACTGTCGATTTCAATCCCCGCGATCTGCGAAACAAAGACCGACTGCAGAACGAACAAGCATACATTGTATTCTATGAGCGCGTTCCCGCGAAATGAGCGATGAGACTCCTTTTTCTTGGTCGGTTTCGGGCTGAGAGCATCAGTTCTATATCCCAGTTGGCATTGCCGTTGTTATGGTGGACACGTGATATGAGCATATAACGAGCATTTCCTCTTTACGTTTGACGGCAAGCATGTTGAGCGTGTTTAAGCCATTATGAGCCATTCAGCGAGTTTTTGTTTTGACCTTGGTTAATTTTGGATGCGTCTGTATATAGGTTTCCATTGGTTGTTTAACGAAGTCATTGAACATGGGAATGACAGGGGCAGTTGTTATATTAGGTTAGATAGTTACATTAGACAAACTCGAAAGAGCCGTATATGGAAAGCATGGCCATGGCTATTTTTGAGCCTTGTTTCCCGGTGTGTGATTAGAGGCAGAGAAATATGGGGCGCTTTATTTTGGTATGTCAATGCACCATAAATCCCTCGTCGTGACCAACAGTCCAATGCATGCATGTGCAATGATCCTCAAATAGCAGATCACCATACTGTACAGACTACAACTCATAGACTATCTGCATAACCCGATCAATCAACATCAAAAACCGACCGACCAACGGAAGGTTAACACCTAATTCTAGCTTATTACTAGAATCATCTCCGCAGCGGAGAGCGGGGAAGACAATCCATCTCGGGCAAACGAACCCGAGGGCGGCACCCGACAGGCGTGGAGACGGCGTGCCCCGAGGTTATTGCGGTTATCCTTCGCAGGACGGCGCGGATTACCGGGCAGCGGGTCTGATAAAGTGATCAAGAACGCGGAATTAGGGTCTTTCACAACGGCTTCGACGATCTACGGTTCCGCTTGAGGAGAAATTCCCTCGAAGAGTTGGCATATACCTAGGTTGTCTAGGTTTTTACCTAGGGCTTTTGCTTGCCATGTGATGAGTAAGGTCCTCGTAACTGAACCATAAGAATAGTACCGCATGTGAAAAGACAAATACAATCAATAGGTTGAGAATCTGCCCGGTGACATGAATCTTGATATGTGGCGGGACCCAGATCGCGAGAGAGGTAGCTGATCCTGTTGATCCTGAATTTTCTTTTTTTTACGAAAAACGAAAAGCATAGTAGTGTTTCTCATGCGTAGTTTGAAGTTGAAATGCGATCAATAATGAGGGCAGGATAATTTCCTGATTGGGGGTTGTAAACCCGAAGAGGCAATTTAATCCATAACCGAAACAGATCCCCTCACGCCAACTTGAAGGCTTCGATCAATTAAGTAAGTTCCGCGTCCAGCCCTCAAGACTTCCTCAGAATCTCAGATCCTCCGCACATGAAGGATTCACTACGGCGCTTGACTCAGTTGGGTTAGTTGAAATTGGGCGGTCGGAAACCTAAAGTTCCTCTGACTAAGACTCCTAATAAGCGACCGTTCATTGGCGCGCTGAGCCATGGTCGCTATCAGGCCACTTGTCGGCGTCGAGATAGGTACCAGCAAGTGTGATGGGAACACGCAGACAGGGAAGATGGAGGGAATGGCCTCAAAACCAGGAATTAGAGATATCGTGGTCATTAATAATCCAGTATACCGAATGGCTAGCCAGATAGTACTTCCAGTAGATCTTCCCCGAGGATAAAGCACATAAGTGACCCTGACGGGAGAGATTCACGGCAAGTTAAAAAACAAAGGAAACCAACAAATGGCTGAGGTTCCTGAGGGCCTTAGGCGGAATCGCTGTCGAATCACGTTGACCGCAGTCTCCCCCAACTTTCTCTGATCATCTTCCACTCCTCTTCTCTTCTTCTTCTCGCTCAGCGTCAGCCTCGACTTTTCTCCTCCGTTCCTCTCACTGGTCTTTCCATCCTATCAATTCCCGATCTTTCTCGCGATTTTCCAACCAGCGTCTCTGTCTGTGTTTTAGTTTAGATTTTTGGTAAGTTATGCTCTGTCCTTTTTCGCATTCCGATCCTCCGGGCTGGACAGATGTACTGGATACAAGGGGCGCATGATGAGGAGATCCTTTTCTTCCCTGTTCATGCCGCTATCAATTCCCTGCGCAGTAATTCACTCGGGGTAGTTTCTCGGCATCTCACCGGTGAACGCTACCGCCCCTGAATGATATCTATTTATCGTCCCGCCAGTCATACTCCCCATCCGCCTATTTATCTACTCTTCTAAGCCTAGAAGTACTATAGCTTACATTGTTCCATCCTTACAGTCTTCATACCCCGCAAACAAAATGTCTGAGAACAAGGAATTCACCTTCCAGGAGGTGTCCGGCCACAACACCAAGAAGGATCTTTACATGGTCATCCACGATAAGGTCTACGACTGCACCTCTTTCGTCGATGAGCACCCGTACGTTCCCGACACTCCCCATCATTTGAACCCTCAACCAGTGCGAATCTCACATCGTTCCATAAACTGACAATGCATATAGCGGTGGTGAGGAAGTCCTGCTCGACGTTGGTGGTCAGGATGCCACCGAGGCTTTCGAGGACGTTGGTCACAGTGACGAGGCTCGCGAGATCCTGGACGGTCTCCTCGTCGGTAACCTCAAGCGCGTGGTATGTTCTAGGCCTTCACTTCAACAAAGACCAAAATGAAAGTCCTCTATCGCTAACCACTTTCGACCTTGCTCCACAGCCCGGCGACCCTGCTCCCCGTTCTCATGCCCAGGCTGCTACCAACACCGCTTCCAGCTCCGGCTCTACCGGCCTCGGTGTTGGCCTCTACGCCTTCCTTCTCATCGGTGGTGCCGTCGCCTACGGTGCTTACCAGTACCTGAACGCCGCTGCTGAGGCCCAGTAGAGAACGGTAGATAACGGGGAACAAGAAAAACAAAAAATAAAAATAATTAAGAACGAACTTTTCAACACGACCTTGCGTTTTTACTAAACGTACGACCATCTCGATGTGCTTTCCGTTCGGCATCGGGTGGGTTGCTTGGTGATATCCACTGCAGATACTGCTTTCATTGTTTGTTATCTTGGGCTTTGTGAAATTCAAGGAAGACCGAAGACTTTTGGAACTGTTACGATTATAGCCTTTCCGCGCCTCTGCGATTGTAGTAGAAGAGGCTCTGTTTGCTTCTTTGCCTTATCGTTCAATTTAAATAATAGATCGCGCTCTATCTTACTAGTCCTGCTTTTCTCCTTACTCGTGCATAAGGCGGGCCATTTTGTCACCCATTGAGAACTATAGTTCAGTTGCTTGTATTACAATGGAATCAAGAGAAGGATATTACTCGGTATACACAGAAATAGGTATATGCTCGTGAGAAGAATGGAATGTTTAAGTACAGAATATCCAAGTCGGGCGAGTGCCTCCAATGCAAGTAATAAAAGTATATAACACAATTTTTTCACGGACGTAAGACACAATAAGAATAGAATTTTCAGCATCCTGTTCGCCGGAACCTCATTTCATCACCAACATGAAATATTTAGCCTCCGGACATTACCTGGAGTTACCCTCCAGTCCGGCCCGGACAGCCTCCAGGATCATGTCCTTGGCTTGCTCCAAGCTGTCCTTGTTTCCCTTGACCTCGATCGCCTCACCCTTGGCCTGGTCCTTGGGCACATTGATTCGGCAACCAGTCTGCTTACGGATAGCGTTGATCTGGCTACCTCCTTGTCCAACAACGAAGCGGTAGGTCTTCGGGTCGGGCAGGATTAGGTAGCCAGTCGCAGACTGTTGCGATGCATTAGCAATGGCCTTTTCGAGAGCCGCTTTCGCCTTTGCCACATTGTCACGGTTTCCTGCCAGCACCCATGGGATGGTAGCAGGCTGGGTTGGGTCATTGGCAACAGGGGCGTTTTCAACGACCTTCCATGAATGAGCATCAACGGCTTGTTCTGGCTCATCGGTGATCAATGGGAGAGGTGAACTGCCATTGACAGCACCGCGAGTGTCTTCCGAGGAGGGCTTAGGTGGTACTTGCTGGCCAGCATGATCCACGGTGACGTGGTAGTCGTTACGAAGGCGACGGAAGAAAGAGCCATTGTCGGAAATAGCATGATGCAAATGCCGAGGGACGTCCACGGTCTCACCTTGTTGGTCCTTAAGCAGGGAAAGGATGTGCTCCTTGGCTTCTGCAACAGCATTGCTAGGACCCTTAAGTTTGACATCAGAGCGTCCAGAGCCTTGCTTAGGGATATCAAGCGTGATGTTGAACTTCGACTCAATACCACGTCGAATTTCTCCACCTCGTCCAATGAGCAGTCGATGTTGAGTAGAAGGAACTTCAACGTTCGCAGTCACCTGATCTTCACGCTCTTTCACAAACTCCTCAATGGCAGCAATAATCTTGTCAACGACTTGGCCGTTTCCTTCAAGCTTAATAGTAGTCTCAGTGCTTTCGGGGCGCGGGAACCTGACAATACGGGATGCACCACCGTCAGTAGGTCCACCAGCATCAGCCACAATCTTACGAATGTTGGCACCTGGCCATATGTTAGCAATTGCAAGAAAATGTAAGTAAATAAGCAAACTTACCACCCCCACCAATCAGAGACTTGTGGTACTTCTTCTCAACGTCGATAGTCTTAGTGACAGTGGCATCAAATTCGGTAGACCGTTGCTCCAGGATCTTCTTGGCCTCTTCGACCTGCTTTTTTGTTCCCTTGATCTTGATCTGTACACGACCCGAGGCATCCGGCGCATCATCGGCCCCAGGAACATCAATTCGGGCACCAGTGTCAGCGCGGAGCTTATCCATTTCGCGACCGCGCTGACCGATTAACGACGGGATTTGACTTTGGGCAACGGACACCGAGCCAGAGTGAGAGTGATCAATGACCCACTGCAGCAAGCTAAGAAGTTCATCGCGGGTGGCATCGGCGCCCTTGCTAGGGCCCTTCACAATAACTTCATCAGCACCCTGCTGAGGTCTGCTGGGGCGGGATCCGCCCGCTTCGCTAGATACTTCGACAGACTGGTCGTCCGCAGCAATGGGTGCCGCGCGGGGGAACTGAACTCGGACATGATAGCGATCTTGAAGCCTGTTGACCTGGCTACCCTGCTGACCGATAAGCTCACGGTGGTATTGGGCGGGGATCTTCAAGACATGAGTAGTTTCATCTTCCAGCTTCTTTCCCAAGTTGATGATTCTAGCTTTAGCAGCATCGGCCTTGGCCTTGGGGCCCTTGACCTCAACCTTGCCGTTCTCCACCTTGATATCAACATCAAATTCCTCACGGAGCTTGTTGATGTTCTCACCCTTCTTGCCGATGAGGAAGTTGGCGAATTTCTGAGGGAAGTCAAACGAAGTTGTATAACCTCTCTCCAGGTCATCTTTCTCTTGCTCGGTAACAAACGCTTGCAATTTTGAGATCAACTCTTCCACTAAACGAGAAGGCCCGCGGAGCGCAACCTCACATTCAGCGCCACGGCCGCTCGGCTCTGCGACGAGAGCGCGAACAGGTATCGAATCCTCGCCCTTCGCCTGCTCTTCACGAGCAATAAACTTCCTAACCTTCTCTTGATACTTGGCTGGTACACTCGCAGACTTTGCCACGATATCATTTTGATCACCCAATGCGCTAGAGAGATACTCCTGAGCTTCTTGGAGAGCCTTCTCAAAGGCGGCGACTTCAGCAGCAGTTGGCCGCTGGCGCGGAACTTCGAATTGAGAAGCAGTGGCTGACGGCCCTTCGTAAACAAGCACTACGTCTGGGCTATCAAGCTCTTCGGGGGTGAGAACATGGACGCCATACTCCTCCTGTAGTTTCGGGATAGCCCGAGACCGAATGTACGGGTGGAAATAGGGGTCAACAGAAATGTGACGAAGCCTTGCTGGAGGATGAGCATGAACAAGATTCATAATATCGGACCGCGCGCGAATAGTGTTTTTGCCGTCTCTAGAGTAAACCTCCCAGGTGACCGGGCCATCAGAACTTGGGGGAAGGGCGATACGAGCGTCGTACATGCTCTCCAGTTCTTTGATGATCTGTCGCTGCCTCAGGTAGCGAGTAAGGGCACGCGCATGGGCATGGGCTCCACTGGGAGCATTCGGGTGCTGACGTGACAGGTCGATGCTTGCCATCTGCATACTCGTGGCAAGATCCATGGCCCGGTTGATGCCATTCTCAATAGAATCCAATGGACCAGTAATCGTAAGGAATTCGCTGTCATCCGACGCAGGTGGAAGAACGATCGCGCAACCAGTGTCAGCAAGGAACTCATGCAAAGCATCAGCGTTATCACCAAGGATAAATTGATGCTGGCCACGGTTGATAGCTAGTTGACGAAGAGTCAACTGGCGCTGGAGATCAGCAGCAAGTCTCTCAATTTCTGCACGAGCTTCCTGGGTTGCAGCACGCTCTCCACTGATATGGATGTGCTTTTCAGGGACTGCCACGAACTGGACATGACCCGGATCAGCCTCCTGAGGTGGAGGCTGGCTTTGCCATGTATCGTACCGAGGGATATGCACTTGGGCATTGGTGCGCTGCTCGATATCTCTGAGGTTCGCGTTATGTGCCCCGGCGATGAAAGGAAAGAATTCAGGAGGGATAGACTTGAGCCGCAGACTCATGTTAGAAGCTCTCTCCTTCACGATGGCCTCAATTTCCCGGCGAGCCATTTCAGCTGCAACAGCATCGCCCTCAATGAGGACATCAATGGTATCCTCGTCGTCCTCAACCTGTCCCGCAGACTCATCGATGCGGGGAACCTGCACACGTGCACCCGTCCGCTGCTGCATATCCTGTACAACAGCACCTTGTCTACCGATAATATGAGGGCGGGCAGAAGTAGGAATCGGGACGCGAACCGATTGCTGAATCCAAAAGTTAATCCAGGCTGACCCTGAACCAAAGCAATCAGAAACATACCTTGGAGCCAACTTGTTGTGCAACCTCCTTCAGAGCTTGTCTGACAGCATCTACTGAGCCCTTGCCTTCGAAGATTATAGAGCCACCGGGGCCACCTCGCATGTCAACGTTGGCCTTCGAGCGCCTCGAGATATCCCGCAAAATATCCCGCAAAGGCTTCTTCAATTGTCCTCGGGGAAGCATCTGGGACGGCGCCAGTCGGAGCTGCTCGACGTGCTTGCCAGGAAGGCTCATGATGCGGGGGCCTTGTGCTATTTCATGGCTGGTCAGGTATGTCCAGGTGTTTGAGAACGAGTGTTAAAAAACTTACCCGCCGGGGAACCACCAGGCACGCCGTTGGCGACGGCGGCAGCAGCTGAAGGCCCTCTAGCGCCCCATGCAGACGCAGCAGGTGCTTTAGGCTTCGGGCCACTTCCCAGGGCAGGGAACAACTCCTCCGATTGTACATCAAAGGCGGGCGTCTTCTTAGGGGCAACCTTGGGGGCGGGGGCTTCCGTAGGGGCCGAGCTCTGCGCTGGAGCATCCACCTTCTGGTCCTGCACTGAAGACGATGGGGGAGGGTGTTTCAGATCTTCTTCATCCACAACATCCTCCACAGTCGGCTTATGGACCTCATCACGTGCATGTTGTTCCTCTAACATAGCAGCCCGAGATTTGGGGATTCCGCCGTTAACGTCGGCATTAGACAGATCAGAAGCCATTCTGCCGGGGAACCGTAATTAAAACTGCTTGACCTCGGAATAATAGATGTATAATTTATTTGCGATGGGGAGGGTGGAAGGCGGATTAACCTAAGGCACTATTTCGTCAATTGATTCGAGCTTGAAATACATTAGGCTGCCAGTCAATCATACCCAGAACCCTAGAAGCAATGGAAAGATGCTGTTCGAGTTGAAACAGCACTATAAGAATGAGAAATTGGCGGTGAATTGTCACTGAGGTTGACAATTCAAAATTTCCGGAGGTGGGCAATAA